AATCGGAAAATTTTTCCCATCTACTTGATGCCCAAGCAACCCAGCGCCCGGTCTATGCCGCTTGCCAATCTGAGCTCCTTCCTTCCGTCTTTGAAGAAGAAGAAGATGATGATGAAGTAGACATCACCATCTTGAAAATGGTCAAAAATGTGAAAGATTTCAAGCAACTAGAAGTTTTATTTTCATTAGAGATAACTCAAGTACAAGTGATAAAAGCATGATTGAAATGTTTGATGTACCTAGAAGCAAGCGAGACTATTCCTTCTTTTATATATAGTGTTTTAGAAAGAAGATTGAAGAGAGAAATTTGTAGAAGAAAAAGTTCTAAGTAATAGCAAACGGTTGGTCTCTGTATTAGTTCTCTAGGCTCATAATCTATAGAAGCTAAAGACGGATGGTCTTACTATAGGGTCTTATTGGGCTTTTCTCCTATTAGCTTAAAGCTCGTAACTGAACAGTGTTGGGCGCTTCTGTTCAAGGGACGGCTCTTGATTAGTCTTAGTTTCTTTCCTGTGTACGGGAAAGTTCTTCTTACCTCTGTTTGTTTCGAGGTGTTGTTTTATATTCTGATTGCTAGAGACTTCGGTGGATGCCGGTTTGTCTAGAGAATTTACTTATTATTAGTTATTATTCTAATTGAATGATTCTCTTTTTCTAATGCTTACCGATTGGTTCGCTTGGTAACTTCTTGTTGGGCAGAGTTGAAGCGATGGGTGAGGATAACCGATCGATCAAGCTGCTATTTAAGATAGACGAGAGTCAGCTCCTGGCCTCACTCGTGTGTTATCTTGTCTTGGGTTTGTCTTAACTGCGAACTCACCTCCTATCTCGCCAGGTGGAATCTTTAAGTTCTTTCGCGTTGGCAGATGGATTATAATCTGTAGAATCCATCGTAGTTAGTGTCTTGGTCTCCTAGATGGTTCTTTACATGCTTTAATGTTGATTGCTTACCAATCACAGCTGCATGTTCTATCTTTTGAGTTCTGGCCCTTTTTGGGGTTTGGTCTCTATCTGCTAGGTTCGAATTCCAACAGCCTGGCATGCTTCTAGTCGTGAGATTAGAAGCAGCTTCTGAGACTTGCAGGATCCCGATTGCCGCTAGCGATTTTCTAATTGTCGATTGACCCAGGGCTTTTGTTAGGAAATCTGCTATGTTTTTGGTGGTTTTTACATAGTGTAATTTGATGAGTGTTGCCTGGATGAGTTCTCGCACGAAGTGAAGTCGGATATCCATGTGCTTGGTTCGAAAGCTGTTTTGAGATGTTTCACTCTTCGCTAGATCTATAGCGGCTCGATTATCAACAGCGACTTCGATGTTGCTGGTGGATACATCCACTTGCAGCTCTTTGATTAGGCTTGCGAACCAAGCCAGGTCTCGTCCTAGGTCAGAAAGTGCTTTGTACTCAGCTTCTGCCGTTGAGAGTGAGACAGTTGGCTGCTTGCTAGACTTCCAATTGAGCAGATGTGCGCCCTTTGCGATGACAAAACCCGTTGTTGAGCGCCTAGTGTCTAGACAGTTTCCCCAATCGGCGTCAACGTAGGCCCTGATGGGGGAGAGTGGATCCATTTTGTAGACAAGTCCCACGTGTTTTGTTCCCATCAAGTATCGGAATACTTGTACTGCGGCCTGGTAGTGTTTTATACCGGGGTTTTCTAGGTATTGCAATAAGGTGCTGACTGCAAACGAGATATCCGGTCTAGTCAGGATGCTTAAGTAGTTCAAAGAACCAATGAGTGCACGATAGTTCACTTCAAGCTTCTTGAGAGCTCCTATTTCACTCATGGTTGCTCTTTTTAGCGGTTCGCGGGGATTCAAGGGACAGGATGCTGGATAAAGGTTGACAAGGTTGTATTCGATAAGCTTTCTCTCGATGTACTGTGTTTGGTTGATTTGCAGGCCGTGATCAAAATGCTCTAGATTCATTCCGAGTAGGAAAACAGCTTCTCCAGGATACTTGATCTCAAATTCCTTTTCGATTTCTTGTCTGAAAACTTTGGGATCCGCGCTGATGATTACAAGGTCATCCACATGTGCGAAGATCCACGTAGGAGGTCTGTTGGGTTGATTGGTTCTCCAGAATACGCATGGGTCCGATAGCGAGATTTGAAAACCGATTGACTTGAGGAAATTTGACAGGCGCTTGTACCAGACCAGTGGTGCCTGACGCAGTCCGTAGATAGCTTTACTTAAATCTAGGACTGATCCTTCTGGGCAATCTAACCCTGCCGGCGGAAGGAGCGTCACTTTGTCGTCCAGTGGGCAAGTGAGAAATGCGCTTCTAACATCGAGTTGGTGAATCTTCAAGCCGTGATTGACAGCGAATGACAAGAGAAATCTGAGGGATGAGGGTTTGCCCGTTGGTGCGTATTTGGCCTCGAAGTTCAAGCCATGAGTTTGCTTGAACCCTTGTGCGCAGATCCGAGCTTTCCACTCGATGATTTGATTTTCCGCTCCGAGTTTCTTCCTATACGCCCAGGTGGCCGGTATTGGCTCATCGGACGGAAGCCTAGCGCGTACTTTCCAAACGTGATGCTTCATCATGTTGGCGATCTCTTTGAGCTCCGCCTCTTTCCATTTTTGGTGGTCCGCGCTTGCCATGGCCTGTTTGTGCGTTTTTGGATCTTGCGTTACCGTGATTAGGAAAGCGTGTCTTCTACGTCGTTCATGGATGATATTCTTTGTGTCCAAGTTGCTGGAGATTTCCTTCTCCGGAGGCGCAGTAGTCCATGCGTATCGACTTTTTGTTGATGATTGGGGTATCTTGGGTGCTTCCTCGATGGTTATGGAATCCGTTAATTCCTTGGGGCTTGAGTCTCGGATTTGATGAATAATCCGGTCAATGTCCTCTTCTTCTTCTTGGACAATTTGCTGTTCTTCTGTGGTCAAGTCGGATTCCTCAGCGAAAGGCAAGGGTTCCTCTTCGGTGAAGCAAGGTAGCTTGTTGATGCCAGATTCAGCCACGCTCTTGTTAAGTGCTGAGCATTCCGGGAATGTCGCTTCGTCGAAGTGCGCATGCTTGGCTGTGATTATTTGTCTGTCATCAGTGCGGAGGATACGATACGAAGAGTAGTCGTTTTCGTAGCCTATAAAGACTCCTTCCCATGACAGAGGGCCTAGCTTGGTCTCTCGGTTCTCCTTAGGCTTAACTACCCAAGCTCGACAGCCGAATGGTCGAAAGAAGTTCATATTAGGTTTGATTTTAAACATCTGTTCTAGGGGACTTGATTTTCCTTTTCCCATAGACGGTAGGCAATTTGTCGTAGCCGTTGCTGTTCGAATAGCTTCGCCCCACCATTCGGGGGCTAGGTTGGCTTGCATCAGAAGACATCTCGCCATGTCAAGTATAGTCCTATTTGCTCTTTCTGCAACTCCATTGTTTTGGGGCGTGTATGGAGGAGCAACGTTATGAACTATTCCGTCTTCGGTGAGGATAGCGCTTAAGTTTTTGTTGCAAAATTCGCCGCCACCGTCTGAGATCAGCTTCTTTAGGACATGTCCAGACTGTTTTTCAAACAAGCGTTTGAAGTTGGCGATTTCTGAAGTAGACTGGTCCTTGGTTTTCAAGATTGCCGTATGGATGTAGCCGGTGTATTGATCTACTAGGGTAAGGAAATATCTTGCACCGCCGTTTGTTGAAGGAGTGATTGGTCCTACGAGGTCAGCGTGGACAGCCTCAAGCGGAGCGTTGACTGGTTTGAAAGAGCCGTTAAAGCTTTGCTTGGTGAGTTTCCCGAGCATGCAGGCGGAACAGGCGTGCGTTTTGTTGATCGTGACTGGTTCCTGCAGTGCTCTGGTTATTCTGCCTGTGCTAGCATGGCCGAGTCTGTTGTGCCACTTCACGAATTCAGAAAGTTGGTCATGGTGGGTGGTAAGCAGACTTTGTGGGCTTGAGTGGTAGGTATCAATGATTTTTAGTTCCAACAAGTCATTTGAGACGTCAGCAGTGAAGGACTGGTTTGCGTCGACCGTGACGTGACAGATTCCGGTTGCGATGTTGATTAGCACAGATTGTTTCATCAATTGTAACATGGAGATTAAGTTTCTTGACAATTTTGGCACGTATAACGCTTCCTCTAAAATCATGATTTGTCCGTTTTCAAGAGTAAGTTTGGCAGTGCCTCTAGCCACAGCAGTTAATTCTCCAGCGCCTCCTCCGGTGAGGATAGTGATTTGCGTTGGAGTGGTTTCGACGAATAAGTCGAGGTTGTTGATCATGTGGTTACTCGCACCTGAGTCCAAGACCGTAGGAAGGCGCGGAGTTGCGACTTTAGTTATGTGGTATGCGAACGCCGGCTTAATGCTCGAAAGATCCGGATCATTATCACTAGCTGTTGTGTGATAAGTTGATGGTTTGGCTTTCTTGGCTGCGTAGTGTTCCTCCCTTTTTTCTGGATGAACTGTCCAGCATTCAGATTCGGGGTGATGTCCATCGGCAGCGGGGTTGTGTCTTCCGTTTTTGCAATAGACTTTTGGAGGTTTTGGTTTGCGCTTTAAGTTAGTAGCTAGAGCGGTGGAACTTCCGGTGTTGTCCGGAACTATCTGCTTTCGCATAGCTTTTTCATGTCGGCCGATGTCGCGGAGCTTGGCGATGATCATCTTTGGCTTTGATAAGGCGCCGATGTCTGAGAAGAGCGTTTGCATCAAAAGAGGACGTTTCTTAGTAATACGACCGATTATTCCACAGCTAATGATTTCATCGGGAATCTTGATGCCGATGGAACTGAATTCTGAAAGACTCTCAAGCATAGCGTTTATGTACTTGTTCATGTCGTTTTCGAATTGTATGTCTTCCCATTTGTTCCATACTTGGAATATGGATAACATGGAATCGCTAGCGTATATGTCTTTAATAGCAGTCCAGATGTCAAATGGTTGTTTTTCGTTTTCCTCAGTTATGGTGCTGGTGAAGATTGAGTCATCTATGCCGTGTGACAAGATGTTACAAACGCGGTTAGCTTTATTCTTGGAGGCCTCGTCTGCGTCTTCTTTTAGAGGTGTGTCGATGAATTCTTCTAGTTATTTAGCGCGAAGGTGCATTCGTATTTTTCTAACCCAGATCGGGTAGTTATCGCCATTGAACTTAGGAACGTTGACGGTATCTTTGTCGACATTGTACGTCTCTTTCTCTTCTTTTTCGCCATCCTTGTCTTTAGATCGTGTAACTGGTGTTGACGAAGATGGTGCCATCTCGACTTGCTTCTAGCTGTTTGCTGGTTGTTGGTTCGTGCTTCGAGACTGTAAATCTGAAAGATTTCAAGCAACTAGAAGTTTTATTTTCATTAGAGATAACTCAAGTACAAGTGATAAAAGCATGATTGAAATGTTTGATGTACCTAGAAGCAAGCGAGACTATTCCTTCTTTTATATATAGTGTTTTAGAAAGAAGATTGAAGAGAGAAATTTGTAGAAGAAAAAGTTCTAAGTAATAGCAAACGGTTGGTCTCTGTATTAGTTCTCTAGGCTCATAATCTATAGAAGCTAAAGACGGACGGTCTTACTATAGGGTCTTATTGGGCTTTTCTCCTATTAGCTTAAAGCTCGTAACTGAACAGTGTTGGGCGCTTCTTTTCAAGGGACGGCTCTTGATTAGTCTTAGTTTCTTTCCTGTGTACGGGAAAGTTCTTCTTACCTCTGTTTGTTTCGAGGTGTTGTTTTATATTCTGATTGCTAGAGACTTCGGTGGATGCCGGTTTGTCTAGAGAATTTACTTATTATTAGTTATTATTCTAATTGAATGATTCTCTTTTTCTAATGCTTACCGATTGGTTCGCTTGGTAACTTCTTGTTGGGCAGAGTTGAAGCGATGGGTGAGGATAACCGATCGATCAAGCTGCTATTTAAGATAGACGAGAGTCAGCTCCTGGCCTCACTCGTGTGTTATCTTGTCTTGGGTTTGTCTTAACTGCGAACTCACCTCCTATCTCGCCAGGTGGAATCTTTAAGTTCTTTCGCGTTGGCAGATGGATTATAATCTGTAGAATCCATCGTAGTTAGTGTCTTGGTCTCCTAGATGGTTCTTTACATGCTTTAATGTTGATTGCTTACCAATCACAGCTGCATGTTCTATCTTTTGAGTTCTGGCCCTTTTTGGGGTTTGGTCTCTATCTGCTAGGTTCGAATTCCAACAAAATGTGATGGTCAAAGTTCTGAAGAGAGGTGATGCTTCCCCCAAGCCAAAACCGTCTTCCCCTAAGTCGTTCTTGTAAAGAATACGGTGACCTTGGAGACTTTTTACTTTATAACTTTAAACGTTTTCTGACTTGTTTTTAACTTATAAACTTGATTTCTTTACTTTATATGTATGATGATACTATGTTTTTGTAATGATAGAGAAAATAACAAAATAAGTCTCTTAAGGAGAAACAATACGGAAGAGAAAACATCGCGTCTTTTATAGATGAATATTTTTGAAAGTTATTCTAACAACTTCTTAATCCGTAACTAAAGAGTGAAGTTCGTAACCTGGGTGACAATTCTATAACATATCTTTGATCCGTTGTAAGACTCAAAAAGTGATTGTAAGACCCTTTTTGCTGAATGGAGAAGGGGATGATGGAGTGAAGACTCTGCCCTTCTATACTATCAGATAACAAGACCCACCAAGCTTAGCTTGGAAAGTTTTAATCAAGTGATAGGGTAAAGTTCAGGAATGAGTTGTGTGATGAAGAGTGTTGATTTGGTGTTTGGTTGGCGCTTTTAAAGTGTTTGTGTAAGGTGGTCAAATATTGCTTGAGTGTTACTTGACTGTGACTGATGAATAATACACTGAGGAGACAAAAACTGGGAGGAGAGCCTCCTTATATAGAAAATAGTGAGGGAATTTAGCTCCAGGGCAGCCAGTAATGAGTGATTTTGGCTGGCCTGGGCTATTACATGAGGGATTTTAGCTACATACATAAGTTGAATGAGTGAATGTGATTGGTCAGACATGTACAAGAGTTAAAGTGGTGGGTCAAACAGTTGAAAGAGTGATTCTGATTGGTCAGGTTGTGTGGTGTTTACAAGTGAGTGTGGTGGTGTAAGCTGCAGCTGTCATGCATGGAAAATACACTAATTTAGGCTGCAGGTATGATGTAATATGTAGAAGTGAAATGTAAAGAGTGTAGATGTATGTAAATGAGTGTGTATGTAAATGAGTGTGTATGTGTAAATGAGTGTGTGTATGTATATGTGAGGTTGTACTGTACTGAGGGTGTCTGTAGCTTGAGGGTTGTAACTGGGATTGGTGACATGTAGTGATGAGTGAAATCCTTGTGATATGTTGTCCAGTGTTGGGTAAGAGTTGATCCAGGTGTGTTCCAGTGACGCCTCCGTGGTGACCAAAGGTGAATTTGTCCGTAGAGTCCAGTTCTTGATCCGTATGGTGTGATTTCTGAGAGAGATTGGGTGATGATATGAAGAAAATATATATAAGAGAACAAAAGAAAAAAAACTTTGAATTTTCACATTTTTGACTACCACAGCCTCCCCCAACTTATTGTCTGTCCCCAGACAATTTATCAGGAGAAAATGGGAAGAAAATAGAGAAAGAGTTAATTTTTAAACATGAAATGAAGTGAAAAGGGTAGTGGGTATTTGGAGGAAAAAGCTGGAAAAAAATGAGTGTGGCTGGAAAAAAGAATGTGATAACCTCCCCCAATTTTGCAGTGAAGCCAAGCTGGGGTGGCTGTATTTGTGATTTTTAAACTTAAACTTAATTTTTACAGCTGATTTAACAGGGTTTTACCTGTAAATGTTAGTCTCAGGTTCCCTGTGTACCCCCCTTCTGCCCAAAGTGCAGAGGTGGAGGGGCATTTTTATTTTATTTTTCATCTTATTTTATTTTATTTTTTATTTTTTTCTAAATACAAATTTTTGATTTTGCTGCGCGCTGTGCGCAGCTGCGCAGCAGTAGACGTCTGGGTGACCGCTCTGTTGACGTACAGTGGCTGTGGCCTGCTGGGTTTAGCTGGAAAGCCCCTTGGAGGGGCCCAAGCGGTTTTGCGACCGTTCGGGGGTCAAGTCTTGGTTCGGAGGTCGCGCGAGGGTGAAAGAAAGCTGCGGCCGCAGCCAAGAGCCCAGAGCCGCCGGTGCCTCGTTCCGGTCCGGGTTCATATTGCTACAGGTACATACAAGGATCTGAGAGCCACTTCGATTCCGCTCAACACCGCCGACTTCCTCGACCCATTCCCGGCTTCCGATTTCTTCCACGGTCTTCGATCGGATTTGCGATGCATCGACGACAGGTAAGTGATTTCATTCTTCTCAAAAGTTCTATCGCTGCTGAATCCTGCCTTTCTATTGGCCAGGACTCGTCGGACCAATTGAATTTTCTTCTATTCGCCGAGCCGAGCAAGGCGATTGGTTAGGACCGGACCACGGCGGGGTCAGCGCGTCGCGAACTCGCTTTCGAGGTTCAGTTGAGCCTCCTTTTCTTCTTTCCCCCCTCCTCTTTTGCTGTGTAATTTCAAGATTATAAGAGAAAGACCTCGCGGGCGGTCCTGATTCTTCCAAACTTGCTGATTGTCTTTGTCTTCTGAATAGAAACCGATACATAGCACTTGCAACGCAGTAAAATGATGCCATCGCACTTTCGCCTAGGTTGTTTATTGCGGGACAGGTGAGCTTTCTTTTCTGCTTTCTCCTCGGTTGTTGCTTTGTACTATCTCGTCTATAAAAAAAGCCTCGCACTTGGTCGTGATTGCGTCTCCTGAACTCGCTAATCGCTTCTCCTGATTTTGATTTGATCTGTGATGTGTAGGAGATGACCTTGTCCGTCAGATTTGAACCACAATCAATCAAGGCTGTGCTCGTCGTATCAATCCTGCCTCAACAGGGTTCCAAGTCGGTTCAGGCCTTCTGAATCAAATCGGAGGTACACTTTTTGTCGATTCCAGTCAAACTTTGTCCGCTAGCCATGTATTGAACTTGAATTGCGACCTTTATCAATGTCTTCTTTAAAGTTGGATTGATTAGAACGCCACCAACGGGGAATTACTTTCAGCTTGATCGAATCTGATACCAATAGTCGGCCGAGGTGTATAGTGAGTGTTTCCTGCTGTCTGTGGAGAGGCGTCGAGTAGTTCTAGCACTGTTTTTTTTTTTTTTTTTTTTTTGTTTCCAAGGATGTGAAAAAAAAAACTGAAAATTCTGAAAAGTTAACAATAGAAATGAAGCACCCCTTCCCCAACTTAACAGGTTGTCCTCAACCTAATAAATGAGTGGTTCCAGAAAGTTGAGCAGGTTAGTGAGCAAAAGAGCCCAAAATAATCCAAGAGTAAGGGAGGGTGGTTTGATAGAAGTGTGTAAGTCTTGGAGGTGTAAGTAGAATAAGAGATTTATGGATGAAAAATGGATAAAGAGTGGTGTGTAAAGGTCAAGCTAGTTGGGTGATCTTTTTACAGAAGTTTCTTGGGTGAGTGAGAATTTGGAATAAAGAATAAGGTAAGGGTAGTGAGGGGAAGCCAAGAGGTAAAAGCCTGAAGTATAAATGAATGTGAGTCCTCCCCCAACTAGAAAAGAATTAATCTGGCTGATGTTGAAGAGTTTTAAACTATTTTTTCTTTTGTACTTTAATTTTTATGCTTTGAACAGTTTAGTCTCATGCCCGGGAGGTGGCCTACGTTTTTATGAGATTTTTGAAGTTGTAAATATATTTGAACAGGGAAATATAAGGTTGTGGAATTTGAAGGGAAAGGAGGAAGGTTAAGAGAGTGACTGATAAAAGAGTGTGAGTTCCTCCCCCAACTTAAAATAATATTCTGATGTTGTATTCTTGAAGGCTGATATATTCTTCTTGAACTTGACAGAAACTTTTGAAAAGGAATTTATTTGAATTTTAACCAACTCCAACCAGTAATCTTGGAGGCTTGATGTTTCCATAAGATTTTTGAAGAGGGTCTGTTGGAATGGATACAGGTAACTGAGGACGGATCTTCTGAAGTAAATAAAGTAGCAGAAATAATTCCCTTGGTGATTCAGATGGAGCAATATTGTTGATTGGTAACTTTGATAATCGTCTTGTTTTCCGGTTTGCTTCATTTGGTGGATTAATAAATGTTGTCGTAATATCTGGTGGATCCGGCAGTGTTGGAACTGAAAAGACTTCTTCAGGAATTGGTGTGGTGGAAATTGATGGTGTAAATGGTTGGCTGGAAATAGGCAAGTCTGTTGTTTCAAGATTTTCAAGAGCCAATGGGGAATGAACACTAATAATCTTGTCTTTTGGCTCTTCAATTTGGGTATTCTCAATTTCCAGGTGTTGAGACGAGTGGTTATTGATCCGCCAAAGTCCAAATATGTCCGAAAGAGGCCTAAATAGTTGCTTGTTGAAGATCTTGATTTCCAAATATTTGTTGATATTAAGCATCCAAAATTTGCCGGGGATTGCAGGAAATTTGTGGTCTTCCTTGGAGTTTTCCGCAAGTAGTAAATTTTGAATCTTCACCGGATTGTTTTTGAATGATGGCAACTGATCCAAAGTTTCTGGTTGAGTCGATTGATCCAAGCTTTCTTCCTGATCCACATTGTTCTCCGTATCAGGTTCATCTAGAATTATATCAGGGATTTTGATTACTGTATGTGCAAGATCCATTGGTGTATCCATTACGTTTATTGATGCCGCTTTCCATTCTTCCAGATCCAGTAGTTTGGTAGTTGTGACTGGTTCTGTCATGTGCATTGAGGCCACGGGTATGGTAACATCAATTGACTTTTCTGTATCAGCAATGGTGGGTTCCGTATAATTTGCTTCTGGCTCTGTTTGATCCGTCACTAGTTCCGTATAATCCGTTTCTGGCTCCGTATATTCCGTCGCTGGCTCTGTACAATCTGTTGCTAGTTCCATATAATCCTTTGCTAGTTCCGTATAATCCGTCACTGGTTCTGTATATTCCGTCGCTGGCTCCGTATGATTGATCGCTAGTTCTGTATAATCCGTTGCTAGTTCCGTAAGTTCTGTTGCTAGTTCCGTATATTCCGTCACTGGTTCTGTATATTCCGTCGCT